CACTATGTGTCCCAGGCTGGCTTTGAACTCACAGCAATCCTCCTGCCTCAGCCTCCCACAGGCGCATGACACCATGCCTGGCTCCATAATTCTCTTTTAAGTTTTCAGAGAATTGCCAAACTGTTTACCATAGTGGCTGGACCATTTATATTCCCACCAGCAGTGTAGGAGTGTTTCTTTTTTTTATATATACCAGGAATTGAACTCAGGATCTTGCTCTTGCAAGGCAGGCGCTTGTGCTGCTGAGCTATATCCCCAACCATGGGAAGCTTTCTGTTTTTAAATATGCTTGCTGTCACCAGCACTCATTAGCTTCCCATTTTATGATTTTTTTAAAGTTGTTGCCATTGTACTAGATATGAAATGATATCCTATAGTTTTGATTTACATTTCCCTAACAGCTTAGGATCCTGAATGTTTATTTTCATGTGCTTATTGGTCACATATATAATTTCCTTGGGGAGATGTCTATCCAATGTTTTTCTCATTTTTAATGGGGTTATCTGTTAATGAGCTCTAAGAACTCTTTATGTATTGCCAGATATACAACTTGCAAATACTTTCGTTTTTATGGGCTCTTGCTTCAGTATTTTGGGGATATATTTTGGAGCAAATAAATTTTTTATTTTGTTAGCATCTAATTTATCTGTTTTTCTCTTGATGCTTTTAGTGTTGTTTCTAAGAATCTTTGCAAAACTCAATATTATAAAAGTTTTCCCTACATTTCCTTGTAAAAGACTTCAGTTTTAGCTTTTACATTCAGATTTGTGCCCCATTTTGAGTTCATTTTTGTATATAGTATGGGTAGGTGTCGAATTACTCATCCATCCCTGTCCAGGATGAACAGGTCCCCAGAACGAGGTGTCCGTGGATGTATTAATCCCTGCTCCAAGGAACCATTCTGGAGCCATATCTCTGGGCTCAGGGGGCTTCTGGACTCAAGCCCCGACCGCCATCTCCAGTAACCTTTTATTCCAAAGGAGGCAGTCCGGGGGGGAGGGGGGGTTGGGGGGGGGTGTCTCAACCGTGTTTTGCAAGTCAATACCACTCCATTATCATAGGAATGAGACTTGACCAGTAAGCCGTCGTGTTATCTTCCTTAGTGCGTGTATCTCAGAAAAGCAGCTAGTGTTGTCCCCGAGGCCAACCATGCTTTTGCTAGACTTCCTTCAGAACCCAACAACCATGGCTTGGTCAGGCCTAAGGCAATACATCCAGAGAAAGTCTTTCTCCACAGGTAGGAGGTCCAATTTCATTCTTTTGCATGTGCATATCCAGTAAGGGCAGCGTTTGTTGTATAGTCTGTTCTTCCCCTCATTGCATGGTCCTGACACCCTTCTTGAAGACCCGTTGACCTGAGGTGCAAGTTTATTCATACCTATAGATGTGCGGATAAAGCTAAATATAGAATTATTACTATATGGCCCAGCATTGTTTTGAAGGAAACCAGACACAAGAGACCACATATTGTATAGATTTTTTAAAATAGGAAATGTCTAGAATAGGTAAGTCTATAGAAACAGAAAGCTGATTGTCACGGTCAGGAGGGAGCAGGAATTGCTAACCCTAAATCTATATAGACTTTCCTTTTTGAGTGAAGGAAATGTTTTAAACATAGCAGTTGCGCACAGCATTGTGACCATATTTAAGTGGCCTTGAATTGTTATTGCCTCTTTCTGTAAAGCCACTCATCCCTCCCAGCATGGAGAGTCTGCCCTCATGCATTCATCAAAACTCAATTACACCCCAAAGGCTGCAACCCTGATGTCACACTGGGGGTTAGGGCTTGAAGATGAGTTAGGGGACCCACAAGCACTTGGTCCATAATACTTAGCAGAGTCCTCCTGTAGTCTCCCCCACAGCTTCTTGGTGCAGTTTTGTCTTTTGTGGAATGTATTGGAGTACCCTTTGATTCACTTTTTTCCTGCAGCCGTTTGTCTTCGAGTTATAATCTAAACTGCTTGTTCCTCAAGCTGGGTCTGCAGCTGTGATCCTGGGAACAGCTTACTCTCTTCATGTTGAATCTGTTTCCTGGGTCTTTTATCTGCTTTTGTGATTTACATTCCCATGTTGTTGATATCCATTCTCCAGTAGCTACATGAGAAAGGGTATATTGGGGGCCGTTTATCTGTCTCTGAAACTATTTTTTATTCTACTAACTTTTTTTTTTCCCCTTTGCTACTGGAGACTGAACACAAGATCCTTGCACTAAGCTATATCCCCAACCCTTTTTAATTTTTTATTTTGCAACAGACAGGGTCATGCTAAATTGCATAAGCTGGACTCAAACTTGCCATCCTCCTGCCTCAGCCTCCTAGAGTGCTGGGATTACACGCCTGCACCACCAGGTGCAGCCCCTACCCAACATTCTTGATTATGTGGCTCACTAGGTATTTCTCAGTTGGAATTCACTTTCCCTCAGAATGTTGAAGCCATTGCTCCACCTTTAAGATTACAGTGAGAATCTGATCCTGTGCTTCTTTTGTATCTATGCATGGTCTTTTTGAAATCTTTTGGAATCAGAATCCTCTTTGTGGTGTTTAGAAATTTTACAGTGCTACAGATGGTGTGTGTGCGTGCGCTTGCGGGGGTGATTTTCCTGGGTGCTTGATAGGTCATAGAAATGTTCTTGACAGTTCTCTTGGGTTTTTTTCCCCTCATTTTCTGACGAAGAGTTGAGATCTGATTTAATTGACATTTTCTCCTATCGCATATCTCTTTGTATAACTTTGTTTGCTTTCTGGGAGGCTGGCTCACCTTGGCTTTCTGTTGGACTTTGGTCTTGTGAATCAAAATTTTAATTTCCAAGAGCTTACTCCTATTTTCTGATTGCTTTTCTTCCGTCACGGCCTCCTCCTCCTTCCTCATTGTACCCCAGGAGTTCTCTATTACTACTTCTCTACTTTCCCTTTCCTCTTCCTCTCTTTTATCCCCTCCTCTGTCTGTCCTTCTTGTGCTTCTCCTATTCCCCTCTCTCCTCCTACAGTCTGTTCTTGATACATATCTTCCTTTACCTCTGAGGACATGGATTTTGAATTTATTTTTATTATTATTATTATTATTATTTTGTCTTTTTGAGACAGGGTTTCGAGATGCAGTTCAGACTGGCCTTGAACTCACTTTGTAGCCCAGGCTGGGCCCTGAATTTGCAGCAATCCTCCTGCCTCAGCCTCCTGAGTGCTGGGACCACAGGTGTGCACCACCATATCCAGTCTTCCTCTCTTTCTCTTTCTCTCCTCTGCTCCTCGCCCCCAGGTGGATTGAACCCAGAGCCTTCACACTGAGCTACATCCCTATTCCTTCCTTCCTTCCTTCTTTCCTTCCTTCCTTTCTTTCTTTCTTTCTTTTATTTTCTTAAATTTGGGATAGGGTCTTGCTATGCAGTCCAAGCTGCCCTTGAACTCACTATGTCGCCTAGGCTGGCTTCAAGCTTATGGCAGTCCTGCCTCAGCCTTCTGAGTGCTGGGATTACAGGCATGCGCCACCACACTCAGTTTATTTTTCATTTTGGAACAGGGTTTCCCATAATTGCCCACACTAGGCTTAAAACTTGTGATCCTCCTGCCTCAGCCTCTCAGAATGCTGGGATTATAGGCAAGCACTACACTGGGCTCTTCAAATTTCTTTAGCATGTTTCTGCTTTGATTTTGGTGCCATATCATGCTCATTCTTATGGACCAGCATCTGTAAAGCTGACTGGAGCTGTGTTGTGTAGTAGACAGCTTCACTGTAGACCCACAGAGCAGTGAGCCAGTTTATTTGACTGAAGGACATCCATGCAAGCTGTCAGTGTTTGTAAGTTTTTGGAGGGGCTGTTCTTTCAAATTTAAAGATCTTCAGTATCTTCCATGTAAATCAAAGTTACTCCTTAATCTATTTTTTTTTTTTTTCCGGTACCAGGAATCGAACTCACAACCTCACGCTTGCCAGGCAGGCGCTGTGCCGCTGAGCTAAGCCCCCAGCCCCCCTTAATCTATTCTTTTTAAATGAAGGAGCTTTAACATCATATTTTCTTGTAGCGGTGTGTAGCTCAATTTATCCATGAAACAAAAGAATTGGACTTAATTTTATCTGTAACCAATCTATGGCATTGCTACAACCCTTATTTAGAATAAATGTTTAATAATCTCAATATATTATATATATAATAAATATATTACATGAACCCCTGCACTTTTTCTACAAAGAACCTGCGTGTGGCGCGGAAACAGAAGGGTAGGGTGAACTGCTTATCTTGTGGCACCTTCTAGGAGACAAAAGCTGTATATAAATTGGTGTAAGACAGAAAATCATGAGAGCCAGGCACCCCTGGCTCTGAATGGCAGCACCATGTACAAACTGTGTGACCATGGGCAAAAGAAGTCTGTGTGAGCCTCAGTTTTCCCATGAATTCTACTGTGCGCCAGAATCGGAACAGATCCTGGAGTAAGAGCTGCAGATCCCTCTTTCCGTGGATCTAATGTGTATTATTTATTTCATTACTACAGTTCTGTTTTCATGCTTACATTTTTTTACATTCCAGCTTGGTTGAAGTAATGCTAACGTATCTTTTTATGTCTATATTATATACTTTGAATGGTCATTTTAAAATGTTTTGTACATTTACACTATTTGATTTCTTGAATTTAAACTTGAAACGGTTGAAGGTTAAGTGAACTATGATAGATTGCAATTTAACAAAAATAAATAGTATTTATTTATTAGAATTCATTTGAGGGCCATGTTTTACGGTACTGTGACTACTTTATGAATACATGTTGCATCTTCAGCTTTTTCTCATAACCTTTAGCTGACAGTTGTTTGTATGTTACTTCTTGTGTTACAGGATGTTGACATCTAAGTCCAGGAATTGGAATTCCTGGGCTGATATAAAATGTTTTAAATTTCTATCCTTCTGAGATTTATGTAACTCAAGGAGATTATTTTTGCAGTGCAGGTCTTAAAGCAGTACATCCTTTAGGGAAGTAATAGTTGCATTTTCTCTCATTTTCTCATTGTAGGGAAACTAAAACCAACAATGGCATTCATGTCAGGAAAATTGAAGATTAAAGGAAACATGGCTTTAGCAATCAAATTGGAGAAGTTAATGAGTCAGATGCATTCCAGACTGTGAAGGAAAAGGAAGAAAAATGTGGACTGCTGTGCTATAAAAAGTAAAGAAACTCAACAGTTAAAATCGAACATTTATTGTCTTCCCCATGGTATTACAAGGATATGCATGTTTGTTCTAAAAACATAGATTTTCTGTATCTGTAAGACCTGAAATTATAATCCAAATAGCTAGCCAAACATGGGCTTCATTAAGTGGAATTCTAAAACTTATTTTTATAGTTTGAGGGTTTTGCCCTCTTGGCCTAATATCTCATCCTGTCTTTTTTCAGGAAAATTATGTGTTTTATACGACCAATCAGGGTAAAGCAGTAAAATTAGCTGTTTACAACCCTGCTTCTCCTGTAAAATAAGGCCAGCTTGTTTAAAGTTTTTTTAGTTTTGGATCAGATACTAATGAGAATTGTAATGATAATTTGGAGTTTTATATACTTCTTTTAATCTATGTACATTTCACAGAAATCATCTAATAAACTGCTTAACAAATACTACTTGTCAGAACGAAGCGAAATCAAGTTTTTCATTTTGTTAGCCACTTTCCCAATGCAGTTATCCATAAGAAACTACAATGTACTCCAAGTAATTGCAGTGTGCATCCTATTCATGAATATATAAATCACATTCTGTCTTGCTATGGATTTGCCTATTCTGGACATTTCGTATAAATGGAATCACATATGGCCTTTGGTGTCTGTCTCCTTTCATTTAATGTTTTCAGGCTGCCTCCGTCTTGTGCGTTGTGTCAGTGTTACTCATTTATTACAGTTGCTGCCTCAGCATCCATTTTGAGGCCTGCCATGTTGTGCGACGCCCCGTTGTACCCTAGTTCAAACTTCGCCTCCTCACGTGGTTGTCTGCCACAGTATAGCCCACTCCTTCTTCTCCCAGTGACCCCAAGCCCAGCACATCCTGCAGCTGCTGCTAAAACTTGACAGTCAACACCAGTGTGAGTCCTGTAAATAAGTTCACCCCCTTTGCAGATGTTTTCTTTAAATTAGCCAGCTCGTAACTCCCTCAGGAAAGCCAAGCGATAGTACCCGTGGACCTTAATAAATGCAGAGTCCCACAAATGTCCTTTCTCTTCCCCTTTCTTTCTAATCTCTCCCTCTCTCTACCCCTCCCCCGCCCACTGCTTGATCTCCCTGCTGCTTCCTTGATTTCCTGTCAGCATCTCTCTATCTTTCTGGGAAGAAATAAGAATCTTCCGTTTTAGTTTCACCTCATTATAAATGTCTGACCTGATGGAGACGCTCAGATTTTTCTCCTCTTCAGGACTCTCCTAGAAAGTGGCCTTTTAGAAAGAGGGGTTGGATGTTGCTCAGTGGTAGAACATTTGCTTTGCCTTCTCAAGGCCCTGCGGTCAACCCCTAGCTCCAAACCAAAAACCAAACACCACCATAACAGTAGTCTGGCATTTTGACACATACCTATTCCCCAGGAAGTCAGGAGGCTGAGGCAGTACCATCACTTGAATCCGAGAGTTCAAGGCCAGCATAGGAACACAGTGAGAGCCTCTTTTTTTTTTTAAAGGAGAAACTCCTAACAATAAAAATCACAATAATCCCTGTTATTCCTTTTTATTCTCAACTAATACTCCATCATTTGTATGTATCACATTTTATTTATCCATTTTTAAGGTGGTAGACATTTTGGGTTCTTTCCATTCTATGGCTATTATGAATCATGCTCTTGAGAACATTAAGGTGTAAGTTCTTGTGTTAATGTCCTCATTTCTCTTGGCTGTAGGTGTGGGAATACATTTGCTAGGTCACACGGTAATTTTGTTTAACCTTTTGTGGAACTGCCAGTCTATTTTCCAAAGTGCCTGCACCTTAGCAGTTGCTTTCTGCTTTGTTTCTTGCCCCTTGTTTTACAGGTACGAATCTGCAAGTGCTTTGGACAAGAAACGGTGAGAGATTGTTTTTGCTGTGATTACTCTTTCTGTGATCTTGGCCTGTCAGGTCCTAGCTGCCCTAATTAACTAGAGCTCCAAATGTTGTGTCTCCACCCCAATGATACTGTCCTAAGCTTGGGATGCTTTTCTCTCTTTGGCTTCTGTACTCCACAAATCAACAATGCCTCAGAAGGAAAAGTGGCAGAAAATGTAGGAACATACTTCAGTGTTTTTCTTTCCTCTGGGTGCTGCGACTCTTAAGTCTTGGCTGATTAAATTGCTCTCTGAAAGTTATAATCAGCTTTTATAGTTCTCGATGGAAGAGTTGATTTGTATAAGGTACCTACCCATGATAGCTGGAAACCTGCATCATTTAAAAAATTCATCACAGCCTGGCATTGTAGCAGATGCCTATAATCCCAGCACTTGGGAGGCTGATGCAGGAGGATCACTGTGCGTAAAAGGCCAGCCTTAACTACACAGTAAGACCCTGTCTCCAAAAAAGAAGGCCTGGGAATATAGCTCAGTGGTAGAGTGCTTCACGGGCATGCGTAAGGCCTTGGGTTTAATACATAGTGCCAACGCCCCAAATGGAAATAAAGGGAACTGTGTGATTTTTAAGAAAAGATTATGGTTAAAAACCCTACATAATATACAATTTACCCTTTTATTCACTTTTAAGCTTACGGTTCAGTAGTGTTAACTAAACTGTGTACAGATCTCTAGATCTTTTTCCTGTTATAAAACTGAAACTCTATATGCATTGAATATCACCCACTCTTCCGCCAGCTCCCTCGCAACCAGTATTGTTTCCATGATTTTGACTATGCCACAGTTTTCATGTAAGTGGAATCATTTAGTTCTTGTTCTTTTGTCCATAAATGGCTTATTTCACTTAGGATAATGTCGTTTCATCCATATTGTAGCATATGACATGGTTTCTTTCTTTTTAAACGCTTCTATTCCATTTTCAGTACCTATCATATTTTATTTATCCACTCATCTGTCAGTGACATAGAGGCTGCTTTCATCTCTTGATATTGTGGATGGATGGGCGGTGCATGTTGGGATGTCACTATGTCTTCAAAACCCTGCCTTCAATCTTTTTGGATATGTACCCAAAAGTGAGATTGACGGATCATATGGTATTTCTATCTCTGAGGGTCCGCCCCCCCCCCCCTATAGCGACCACCCCCCCCCCCCCCCCCCCATATAGCGACCACATCTTACAATCCCATCAGCACTAAGAAGGGTTCCGGTTTCTTCGAAAAAGCACATCTTCGGGCTGTGTAGCAGTTAACTGCAGGTTTTTAAAAAATACTGTATAGACATTATTTGGGACTGCCACATAAGGCTAACTAAGCATGCTCTAAATGTTACTACCATTATTGTTCTGGAGATGCTTAGTGAGGTAGAAAAGGCATTAAAAGCATGAACTCTTGGAACCAGACTGCCTGGGAGGAGTCTGGGCTCCTGTAGGTATTATCTAACTGATCATAAGCAGATTTCTTAATTTCTCTGAGTCCCAAGTCCCAAGTTTCTTTTCCATAAAACAGCAGTGCTAATAGCACTCACTCCATAAAGTTCTTAAGAGGAACTAAGCCCCTGGTGCAACTCGGAGCTCCTAGTAAGCTGTATGAAAAGTGGCAGGTGAGTGAGAGCGCAGCAGTCCCGCCTCTGTCGTGCGATGCTGAGAGAGGGGCTTGCGTGTGCCTGGTGTGCTGAGCGCTACTTTTACCGAGTTTTAGATGATACTAAGCAGCCCAGCTCCCTCCGGGTGAGTGTGCTGCTGCGGGGCGCGAAGCACCTCCACAGGGCACCGGTGACTGGGCTGTCGGCGGGCGGTCTGGCACATCCGAGGGAGCAGAGGTGACCAGCAGGTGCCACACACAGCGCTGCTTGCGTTTAGGGTCGGCGTGCGGAGCAGAGGGCAGCCGAGACGGCAGGCCGGCGGCGCGGGCAGGCAGAGGGTGCCGCACGCGGCGTGGGTCCCACACCTGTCCGGGCGGCTGG